AAACCTACATTATACTGTTTAAGGCTCCCTTCACGAACACTTAATGGTACATCAAACGTTGATACCAAAATTTGGGCTTGTATGTTGTGAGCGAATCTTCTCAGGAAGATGTGGCGCCCTATTTCTACCTGGCGTATGCCAACGGCTCTTACTTGCAAGAAAGAAAAACAAATTTCCTCTTATCACTGAACACTGAAAATTATAATTTGATAAGCAGCTTCAGATGTTAGAAGCCGAGTATCGCCAAAGAAATAGCATTAAAATTCAACAAAACAATCAATGTTTAACTTTCAAGATTTGAATGTCGGTACAGATAAGATACCTTTTATAAAATTGATGATCTTTCAAATAATATCACCATTATCTTTCCAGAATATCTATCAATATTCAGAGAAAAATTATTGTACTCTTTATATTAAAAGGCTCTCTATCGATTATTTTAATCTATGACTGAAAACAAATTACAGCCGGAACTTGTTTTTATGTAAGTTTTTACTAGATTTATAATTTTATAATAAATCTCTTGCTATGTGTTTTTTACGATATTTTAAAGATAAACCAGGAAAATTATCCAAACAAAAAATGCAATAAATTAGTAAAAAAATTGCAATAAAACAGTAAAAATGTCCCAGCTTAAATCAGAAAATTTGAAACTGACATTCCATATTTAAAAAAGAAGATCTGAGATTTGTGAAACAAAAAAAAAAAAAAAAACCGGGGATAACTTCTAGCTTTAAATCTTCTAGATTTCTAACTTTCGTAATGCTCATTTTGATATGTATGTCCTGATTAACAATAGATATAGCAGTTATTTCTTTCGCAGTATGAATATTCAAGCACGTTCTTATTATCCTCTTTATGTATTTCTCATCGAGTACTTAAGAAGACACTTTAAGCAACAGAAATGTGATTCTGCAGAAGGATGCTGAGCATACCATGCATCGAAAATGTGAACAACAATGAAATTTCAGAGAAAATGGAAATCAGAAGGACTCTTAATAACAGGAAGAGACAATTGACATGTCAAGAGCTCATAATAAAAAAAGAGGGCTTAGAAACTTTGATACTCACAGGAGAGATTGAAGACGAACAGAAGAAAACAATGAATAAACTCTCCTGTGATCTTGAGTAAATGGATAGTGGGACAAGGTTCAGGAGAGTTAGCAAAAACAGAAAATATATGAAGAGCTATAATGAACAAGAAATAGTCGAGACCTATGTTCGTATTCTTTCTGAAAGGACACGGCACATAGAAGAACAAGTGCAAACAAAGAGATTACGGTCAAGTCGACCGTTGATCAGTCTTCGTAGAAAATTGAATTTACGTTTTTTCTTTATATCTTTACATCGTGCAAAGCACTGCAAACAACTGTGATTTGAATCTTACCTCATTGTGCAAACAAAACAATTTATTTTGGTAAACAAATCAAAGCTAAGACATTTTTACTATTTATTATCTGACGTACAAAATCAATCTTGCGTAAGCTCATGTCGTTGAGAAACCATAAGTTCTCTCATGCATCCAGATAAGATAATGGAATAAATAAATCGATTAACGGAAGGGTTTGTTGCCGTAACAAGAGAGCTTTAGCTAAAACGAAATAGAATTCTGACTCATTATAAAAGTATAGCAATTATGATACGTAAAAATGATGGATGATCAAATTCCATCTTTTATTCTCATACTTAACAAATGTAGGTAAATGACCTAAGCCGAGGAAAAAGAGAAATCGATTACACCCTGTAACTCCAGTGGGTCTAAAACTGACGATATGGTGAAAGAAAGGAAGCCAGAGCGCTTGTTTCAATTAATTTGCACAATGGTGTATAACAGAACGCGTTCGCGCGTGTTTTTAAATTCAAATATCGCAGTTACAAAAAGTTTGTCTTCATAATTTACCCCTGAAGAAAACCTATAACAATGGATCAGTACACTCGCATACAAGTGTACGTAAATGAGTTTATCAATCCGATTCTTAAGTTTCTTGTATTTTTTTTGGGGGGGGAGGGGTAACAGTAAATCTACGAACTAAGATCTTCAAAGCGGTCACCCACTTGAAAAATTGTGAACAAATAGCTAAATAAATGTTAACTTTTGGCAAAAAGTGCCACTTGGCCGGAATTTAGAAAGTTCCGTTTGTTTTATAAATAGTGAAAGTCATAATTGAAGAGCGTTTCAGGCAGCTTGTTGATTGGGTACAAATGTCCATCGAGAGAGTTCTGGACCACCAGCTGACTGGTACTGACTGCTCGTTGAGAGAGTAAGAGAGACACAGAGAGAAAGATAGTGAGAGAGATATAATGTGTGTGTGTGTGTGTGTGTGTGTGTGAGAGAGAGAGAGAGAGAGAGAGAGAGAGTGCGTGTTCTCATGTTGCTACTTAGAGAGGGGATTCAAGCTACCACTGGCGATTTTAGAGAGATGGGTTGTAAGCTTGACTCCTCCTTGGAAGTATCGTGTATCTTTTGTCTGTCGCGAAATGAGAAACAGACTTCGTCCAAAGTGTCACCTCACTACCAAACCATACCATACCGTGAAAGTGAATCCCTGAATAAACAACCAAAGAGTTTACCTCTTTTTTTCTCGTCGCGGCGATTTTTTCACCTTTTATTAATTTGTAAACGCACAGCGGCCCTTTCGCAGTGTTTGTACATATCGACGAGACTCGAGAAATAAAGAAGGGATGATTTTCTGGGCCGTTGAAAAGCTGAGAGAAACAGCCCCGTCGTATGATGTCAGATACCTCAATATCAGCTGTTTAATGACGAACAACATTCACTTATTTTGCACAAGAATATATACTTTTCAGCATAATCTCCTCCCTTGTATTATACGCTTAATTTGTTGGTGAATATAAGTCACAGAGATCAAACATTAAATATAAAATAAAAGTTTCGAATAAAAATCCAGTTAATAACTACATGTCAAGTTATGGATTTACTGATCCACCCACGTACATAAGATGGCAAAGAGAGTAACTGATTTTTTGTTATACCAAAACGGATGAATCCAAAATAAATTAAAAAGAAAAGCTGTTCCATCTTTTGACCGCTTGAATACTGTTTGGTCACTTGAGCAATACTAATGGTGTTTCAAAAATCTCATTAACCTGTTGATCTGATAGAGAAGCAATGTAAGGAGGCTTTGTCTGGATTTCATTCATCCATTTAATCATGGAATGATAGATTTTTGATTGCCACTTTAATGTGGGGGTCACCAATTTTCTTATGTTGACTACAGGATGCACATCCACATTCCCATCTCCATCTTCAATGTCCTCATCAGCATCAGTGTAGTTTAACAAATCCTCGTCAGCAGCAGCAGCAGAATCTTCTTCCACCTTATCAGATCTACCAGATCTTCCATCTGATGATCCCCCTTTCTATTTTACTTATTCTTTTTCTATAACAGTCACGTCCTCATTTGCACACATGCCAAGAAGAAGCTGATCTATGCGGGCGAAGTATGCATTTCTCTGGACAGTCTTTTTAACTATTGTCTTCTCCTTACTATTCAGATTTTTCATATATAGCAGCGATTTGGAATACGTTCCTTGAGCCGTGTGTTACGTAAGGGATCAACTTGATGTAGAACCACATTGGAGCATTGAACTTTATAATTGTAATGACGATTCTTTTCAGCTCGTGGATAGGTCTTGATGTTGCTGCATACAAGCTGAGGTTTCTACTCCATAAAGTCTTCTATATTGACACCCAGGGAGGACTTGACTTAATAGCAGCCACGTCATCATCAACAACACCTGTTATGACTGCTTTACAAATCCTATACAGGTATTTCTGATCCTAGGACAGTCACTTCATTGCCTCCCTCTTTTGATCGCTCTTTATCCCTCTTTTGTCTGCCTGAATACTGTTTGGTCAATTGAGTACTACAAATGGTGTCTCAAGAATATCATTAACCTTTTGATCTGATATAGAAGCAATGTAACGAGGCTCATTCTTCATTCATCTAATCATGGAATGATAGGTTTTTGATTGCCACTTTAACTTGGGAGGCACCGATTTTCTCATATTTACTGCAGAATGCACATTCCCATCTCCATCTTCACTCTCTTCCCCATCATCAATGTAGTTTAACAAATCCCCATCAAAAGCAACAGCAGAATCATTTTTCAGATCTCTGAGTACCTTCTTACATCTGTCGATTCTCTTTATTTTTTCTTATCATCGAGGCAGCTTTTCTCTAACAGTCACGTCCTCGTCTGCACACCTGCCAAAAAGTTGATTTTGTGTGGTAGGAATATGCATATATTGGGACAGGTTTTTCATACATAGCAGGAACTGAAATACATTGCATGAATCCTAAATTATTTTAAAAAAGAATTGCTGTTCTTTTTCACCACACGAAAACACAGAAACCTACACACATTGATAAACCTATCTATTTTTTGAAAAAAAGGTACATTAATGAGTGGTAAAAAGTAAATATTGTTTGTTCTTTATTTCGAATCATTTCGAGTTCATATTGTTTTTATATTTCACAACATTTCAGCCGAGTACACTCCGGCCTTCTTTGGGTGATATTTTTATTTTTATCTTGGAATGGCATTGTATTATAAAATGGTTTACGTCGTAACAACGGTTCTCAAGTTAAGCATCGGCGAACCTGAACATTAGATGGATGATCTCTTGGGAACACTAGGTGTTGTAAGCTTGGGTGTGCGGCTGGTGGAATTGATGGTGGTTCGAAAAAAGAATTCGGAGAGCCGAGTTCAAATTCCAGACGGGTTCCTTGCATTCACTTATGTGAAAATACCTTTGGGAAAGATAAAGCTCAACTTCTTCCCCACTCAGTTATAAGTTAAATAGAACGGATTTACCTGAAAATCAGTATTATCTGAAAAACATTTGTTAATACGATATTAAAATTTTTACAAAAACAAATAGATATTCTTAGAATCCAAAAATATGTTTTGCCTTTGTAATCTATAAAAGGTTGATAAGCCGTAAAAAATCAGAATTAGACAAGAGTCTATCTTCTGTTGAAACACCGGTTCCCCTACGATCACTGAAGTTAAGCAGCGTTGACCTTGGTCAGTACCTAGATAGGTGACCACTTGGGATTACCAAGTTTGGATGTGCGTGTGGTGTAATGGATGATGACTCGGAATTGTTAATCGGAGAGCCGAGTTCAGTTTCCCGTTGGGTTCGTTATATTCACTTACGCGAAAATACCCTTCGCCCCCAGCTATGGGTTAATTAGTAAGATTTTTATAACTAAACCATTATTATCTCAAAAATAAATCTTACAATCTAAAAATATTTTTTGAATTTAAATAACCTGCAAAGGGTTGGTAAACCGTAAAAAACGAATCAATCTATCAACCGAAAAGTAGAATCAGCGAGCCGAATTAAAATTTCACATTCACTTTCGCACGATTTCCCTAGGGAAAGTTTTTTGATGTCAACAAACACTCGTTGTCACTTTTGTGATTCTAAAACATATTCGTTGTCACTTTTGTAATGCTCATTGTAGTAGAGACTTTGTAATCGCAGATACAACTATAGTACGCCGTTGAACAATACTGGTGTCAAACGCCTTCGAATATCCTTCACACTTATAGTACTTGCTCGATAATATTCGCTAAATAAGTTACCTGTATAGTGATCATTATAGAGAAATAGTCTAGTGAATAGAGTAGAGAATAGCGGTCCGTGTAGTATAGATGATAGAATGGAAATAATGATCCGTATAGTAATAGAGGATAGAATAGAAATAGAGATCAATTAAACGTTACGCAACTTCCTACTTATGCGTTTCCTTTATGGTTACATGATCTACTTAATGGGATCGCCTACGTTTGCACACTGGTGATCTATGTTCAAACTCAAGTGTCACACACCACTATAATTTTTGATATATGAAAGCAATTCAAAGATAATAAAGTGGTGGAATCCGTGGAGAGCCATGATCGTCTACAGCAAGAAAGGGATATGGCTTTTGAGAAAAAAAATATCGACGAATCAAAACGTATTCAATTTCAAAAGTTTGCGTCATACCATCTCTTCGTTGATATGAACAAAACTATTTTTGGTAAAGCTTCCATCAGCATTCCCACTCGATGTGACCTACGATTATTTTCGGCGAATAATAGTCATTTATTGTCCTGACCTTTAGCCTGACAAATTTCAACTCAGCTATCAATGGGTAGTAACAAGAGAACTTCTAAATTGAGGACAACATGAGCCACTAGTCCGCTTACAAAAGAAAGTGCTTTTCCGTTTCCTCTTCAGGAGGCGAGTCCCTTCTGACAAGAGGATATAATGTCAGGGCTGGAATTATTATTTCAAATTTGTATAATTTTTTTTTTTTTTTACATTGCCTGTTCAGTTATCTATCTACCCAGAATCAGAAATTGCTATAAAATCTGAATATTAATGGAAATAAATGGAATAAAATGAACTATCAGAAAATGTAAACGCTGATATTAAACTAGATAAAAATCCTATCATACATAACAAGTAAAACGACCCAACTTGACGTAAAACGTAAGGGAAATTCGTAACCAGTGAATATCGGGTATTTTATAAGCACAAAAAATAAAGAGTGTATTAAGAAACGGGAACATAATGGGAATTTATATTTAACATCAGTAAGAGACAGTTGAAATCTCTAGGGCACATAATAAGAAAAGAAGGCTTGGAAAATCTGATACTCACAGAACAGATTGAAGGAAAGAGGGACCGAGGAAAAAGATGCATAACCTACCTAGCCAGTTTGAGTAAATGGATGGCGGAACAAGGTTTAGGGCGGATGATAATAAGACAAAATTTATTAATAGCTGTTAAGGACAGGAGGAGACTTTGTCGAGCCATGATCGCATAATGTCCCGAAGAAAGACCACTTGTTGATCAGACATGCAGATGTGGCACACAATACTTACAGATATATGTTGTCTCTGTGCTCATTTACGACATGGCGTAGTGACCAGCAAATGAGTAATGAGTCCGATCCTTAATATTTGCTTCCTACTTTCAGCTTTGTGCCCCATCAAAGCTCCGCTTACTAAATCGCTGTAAGTTGTCCTTGTCTTTTGCGTTTCACAGATGATTCTTACATCATTCTTGCTGATAAGAACATTGGTTTTTCTAAAAAGTTTTAGCAGGATAGAACGTTTTGAAATCGTTTTTGACAAGCCTTAACGAAAAGAAAGATTCTTAGATAAACGGATTGAATGAATTTGTTAATGACAAATACTTAACATATTTAACAAAGGAAATTCCATTTGATTTCATCTTCGTTGTTAATTAATGGCCGGCTATTACTCGATTCCGTGAGGACACATCTTCCAGGGCGCCAAGCGAAAAAGAATTACAGACGTCGAGTCAAACCCCAGAACCTGTAATTTATACGAGGTTAAGTCAAACATTATTCGACTTTCGCCGTAACACATCCTTAGTTTTCCACGACTGCCTTCTGATCATGCATGGCCATAGTTGGTATTACTGTGGTTACGTGATCGAAGCTTGAGTTTTATCGTGCCACTTTTTTTTGCTGCTGTTACAGTGTAAACTTGGCCGCTTCGCTAGCAACATGCACTAAGGAGGAACAACGAACAGTTGTCTGGACCTACAGAAAACATGCTACCTCGTCGATGATAACTCGCCAGTTCGTCATTACCATCTTTCGTGCTTGCTGAATCTTCTTGTCGGTGGATGGAGTTCGACAGGTGTCCTGTTCCTTCTTCGTGCGTCACGCCGGTCCGGAGATTTTAAAACTTCTCGATCCACTCATACACGCTGTAGTACACTGTTGCCGTATTGGGTTAAAAGCTACCGAGTAACTTCAGCACCTGGAACACACTTTCTGCCTATAGAAATTGGATCACTGCTATTGTTCTTACTTGGTGAATACTGCAAGCGGGGTGAATATGTTCACACTGTAACAGTAGCAAGAAAACTGGAGCAATCAAGTTCAGACCTAATTGTCCCTACTATAAGCGGTATTTACCTGGTACCTCCCCACAAGGTGGGATGTGGCACAAGGCCGTTTTTTTAGTGGGGATTTCTGAGCCCGTAGGCTCGGGCAAACAATTCCGCGTAGACACCGTATATACGGGGATGGTTTACTGTCTACCTCCCCAGACGTGACTCTGCCTGTAGAAATAACGTATTAGGCGTTCCTTTCTGTCCGGTGGCAGAGAGTTCAACAAGCAGAGCATTCGGAAACCCAGAGTCCCAACTATAAGCACGCATGCATTTTTAACTTATCCACGCTGATTGTCCAGCATTTCATTGCTATATAGGCGCTTAGTCATTACATAGCAGCGCAACACCTCTTTGTTCGTTTCTAATGAATTTCTGCTATCACTTACTACTTTTCTTTGTCTGGGGAATTTAGCTTAGCTGAAAATGGATGAAAATAAAGCGGGTCCTCTATTTCTGATTTGCCTTCAATTTTGAAAATGTTTACAGATCGCGACAGATGTGATTAAATATACTTTAATGTTTTAAAAAAATATTCAGTATTATTATTGTTTAGGTAATAAGCATTATAACATAGAACAAATAGCTATATTGTGGAAAAAGCAATTTTCGACAATATATGCATTTTTTACGTATTGCTATTTTTTAATTTTATCAAAAACGACATTCTTTTATATGTAGATATGGATAATCTTATACATTAACTAATTTTTTTTAATTAATAACTATTTGTGCTCAGTTGTTGACATTAACAGCTATCTGCTGATGTGTTAAAATTATGGAATAATGCAATAATAAAAAAAATAAATTTCATCTCTTTGATGTCGCGATCTGTTAAAACATTGTTAGTCATTTATTATTTTGGAAAGCTAGAAACCCTCAAACTTCTTTCAGATGACCATAATACCAACTAAAAACATGCATGAGAAGTGTGACAAACCTAAAGATATGGAGAAAATACGGATAATTTTGATGTTCTGCAATTATATTCTCTTTCTCATTTAAATCTGTTAATCTCTTTGATGAATTGCCATGATTTTATTCCACTCGGTTTTATTTGGTTTTATATTCATAATTTGAGCAAAAATAGCCACATTGGAGTAATATCTTGGGTTTGCCAATAGGGGAATAAAATCTCTTAACACCAAAAGCCGTTACTAGCTGCCTGAGGATAGCGCGTTTTACAAACTTGAAACTCGCTATTTATCATCCTACCGTCACTATATTTATTAAAATAATATTGTGGCTGTGCCATTAAGCATTCAGCATTCTGTTTATGTATCTAAATAGCAATCTTTAATGAGTGCCATTTTAATATATATATATATATATATATATATATATATATATATATATATATATATATATATATATATATATATCAAGAAATGGACAAACTTATTAAAGACATTTTATGTTTACCGTTCTTTTTATAGATGCAAGTATTTAAGTAAATGCTCTGTTTATAAATGTTATTTAATACTGTTTATTATAAACAGAGCATTTACTTAAAAAAAAACGTTAAACATAAAAATGTCTTTAATATATATATATATATATATATATATATATATATATATATATATATATTTGTATTACGCGATCTGAAGAGTTCAGGTCAATTTTCCGACAACAATGAAATAAATATAATCTCATGGCTTTTAAGGTGTTTTTTAAAACTATATATATATATATATATATATATATATATATATATATATATATATATATATATATATATATATATATCAACCCTTAAAAGTTATACAATGAACTTTTCAGTCCATCCTCGTACTGAGAAAGAAACAATGCCGTTAGTAATAAGAAGAGTTGAAATGAATGTATGCAAGATTTCACAGCTCTAGCATGACTCTTTCATGGAAAGAAACAAGACAGTTATTAATAAGAAGATTTGAAATTAATGCATGCAAGATTTCACAGCAGTAGCATCATACCTTCATCGTCAGCCTATGAACTTTTCAGTCCATGCTTGTACTGAGAAAAAAACAATGCAGTTTTTAATAAAAAATAGTTTAAATTAATGCATACAAGATTTCATATCGCTCGCATCATTCCTTCCTAATCAGCCTGTAAACTTTTTACCCCACACTCGTAGATCAGGGTTGTATGAAATAAAATAAAGGTA